ACACAGCGGTGTTGTATTGGGGAAAGTCAAAACTGGACACATTGTGACTCCATGTAACGCCGTTAAACATTGTTCGAGTGGTGTTCTCATGTACTTAACCTTGGTCATATACGAGGGCTTGTCAAAAGGTCTAAGTCTGATTAGCATTCAACTATTGGCCATAACAAAGTGAACTAGTCAATGCAGTATATTGTTTGAGTAGTTCATTGCAAGTGTATTAGGGCTGTTGAGGCCGTTTGTATATCAGTGACAGGCAGTTGAGCGTGATATGGGTCCAAATTGACGTAGACATGGAAAAGAACGAGTCATCAATTTTTTTTAAGTACTCCCCAAGAAATTCATGACCGCATGTCACAAGTGTATGGGGATAAGTTCCCTATCTGTTCCACTGTTAAACGTTTGGCAGCTATGTTTAAGGCTGGGAAAACAAGCCCTGATGATGACCCTAGGTCTGGACGTCCTTCAACTTCCATCAATGAAGATTCAGTCAAGGAGATAAAAGAACCTATACTGAAAAAATTGCGAGCTTATTGAGGAGGATTTCGTCAAATTCAAAACGAGGTTAGTAACGGATGATGAAACATGTGTCAAAAAGTCAATCCATGAAATGGCACCGGCATCAAAGAAATTCAAGTCTGCAAGATCAGTGTAGAAGGTTTTGACCACTGTATTCTGGGATGCAGAGCTGTGATCCTTGTTGATTACTTAGAAAGTCAAAAGGTAAAAATGATTTGCTTCATCGCCTGAGAGGATCTATCAAAGAAAAGCGGCGAGGAAAGTGCTCGAGTTCTACTTATACATGGCAATGCCTCTTCTCACACACCTCGACTTGCAAAGGCTGCTGTGCGACAATTTGGGTTCGAAGAGCTTTCTCACCCTCCATACTAGCCAGACCTAGCTCCAAGTGATTCCCACCTGTTTCCTAACTGAAAGAACACCTTCGTGGAAAGCGCTATGACGACAACGATGACCTCAAAGCTGCCGTGAATGGGTATTTCAGGGTGGCTTCAGAAAACTTTTTACTTACTGGAATTGGAAAGCTTCACTATCGATATGATAAAATTATAATAAAAGCTTCACTATCGGTATGGTAAAATGAAAATAAAGGGAAGTCACGTGAGCTTAACGACAGTTTTATGTAATTGTTTGAAAGACACAATCATTGATGACCAAAATAAAATTGAAGTATATCGAATTTGCTTATCGAAAATAAGTTGTTTCTACATAGCGATAAGGAATGTAGCATGCCTTCCTTGATAAGGACAAGGAAGCAGTTTTTGTCTGACTTCACGTTCTCTACCATAACATCTATGAATTTTAGAGGAAAAGTTAAGTGTCAAGCAGCTCGGTCACTAAGGAAGGTTTTTTAGCACTGGTCCCTCAGTTTCAAGTTCGTGTCGAGACCTGTCTATAAGTTCATTGGGCGCAACGGAATCCGTACCCCTAATGTTAAAGGAATTCGAAGGATAAGATACTGACTTGAATCATTGTAATACGTCTTACGTGTTTCGCATATTCTACTATAGGTGAGTTGAAATAGATTTTAATGTCGCTTTTTAAATTAATAATAAGGTAACGTGTCTATGTTTCAGTAACAGTTGTAACCGACGAGGCCATCCATTGATCTCCAAAGCCTTATAGAATAACTCTTAATATCATCTTATTATGTTGGATGATCTTGAGATCAGAGAATGGGAACAACCAATACATTTATATAGTCGTAACTCCGTACATATGCCTAGCATTGTATACTGTAAATATGAATGTCTGCAATAGATGCACGTCTTGGCTGCAGACACGCGCATGTGTTGTGTAACATCCATATGTATGTAGTTACTGAATGTTGACGTCGTCTAGCATGTTGTCCTTTCCGGTAACAAAACCACATTCGGAGTATTTGGTTTTGTCTATTTGTATATGTGTATTCACGAAATACACGCCGGGGATTGTTTGTCTACACAATATCAGACTTGCAGCGCGGCTTACCGAAGACGTTGTCGCATGGCCATACTACACACATCTGAACGACGTATTTGTTACATCATGGCACACGTAGCTGTGTCTTTGAAAGGGGAGAAACGTTTCTCACAAAATTAGGAAATGACCAAAAAAGGTTTTACATATGATTCAATAACCCAGTTGATGTAGATTACTGGTTTTCTCCTGCCAATAAGTAGTAATGTGGTATAGACGTAGATTCTAGTCTAATTTGCAAATGAGGTTTACTGAAATAACGTACTACTAAGTCTTGTGTTGTTTTCAGCAGCTCCCCACAGCAGAGGTTCATGCCTCCTGAAATGTATGCGTCATATAATAATAATAATATTATTACCCCGGTCACTGGATCAATATGCACTCAAGAATCATTCTCCTTTGCCTGAGTATACAACCCAAGCGGCCGCATTGCCAACCGGGTACCCATTCACTGCTGGGTGGACAGAGGCACATTTCGAACTGTCACTTGCCCAAGGAAACGCCACATGTGCTTCAGTGTGGTGCAGGACCGAAGCCCAGGACACTCTTATAAGCCAAGCTGCTGAAACGCGGTCACCCATCCAAGGACAACTTCACCTGACTTGTGACATGTGCGCTGTGCACAGAACTACGTGCCACCACGGGCCATGCAACCTTTCCAAATAAACACCTTACAGTCCTACATACATTCCTCTCCCTCCAGTGTTACGAGTATACCTCTATCAATTCATTTCAGATTTCCAACTCAATTAAGAGCCATCCCGTCACTGTATGGCAATGATGGCGGCACATCGCTTGCATCCATGGTTTATATTTGCATAAGGTCATGAACGCTTCTTAGAATGACAAAGATGCATCCTTTATCGCTTGTACAGAATAAAACAAACTGTTGACAGAGTCAGCTATGTTAATTCCATATGTCTAGAGGCTCTGAATATGCCTTACAAACTTAAAACCATGAGTCTGGCAAGATTCGGCAACTCTTCTAGAAAGAGGTATAACATGGGTGTAATGTACAAGCCTTTTGTACATTTCGGTCAGTAAACAGTGAGATGAATCATATTGTATATGTTGTAAGTGATACAGCATACTACCGTAAAGATATACGTTATTGCTACATGAATTAACGTATATCACCACTGATCTTACTGACTGTTTGTTTAATGTGCAAAAACAAAATGTGAACACGTTCTAAATCAACTGTTTCGATTTGGCAACGTGATAGTTCGTGTGACGTCACCTATATTCGTGAGTCTGTTCCACGAAATTACTTCTTGTAGCATAATGGCTTAAATCAGCATTGTATGGCTACAAAAGTGCATCTAGTCCATCTAAATGCATTGTATATTACTACATAGCCGTGACACGAAGTAAAATAACTTCTGTCACTGGTGGAGTGCAATTTCCCCACGTTCCACCGACCGTACCCTCATGCGAGAGACTACTTCCGATATGACGTCACTTTGTTGACAGTTTGATCGGTTGTAGATTTTCTGATACGAGAGTGAAAGCCGGTTCAGGCCGAGATATGTGAGTTGACATTCAAGTATTTTATATTTATTGTACATCTTCCTAACTGAATGAATTACTGAAAAGAATGATTATATTCTTGTAATTTAATAAATGTTATTGTGCAATTCTTAATTTTGAAATTATTCTTGAAAATTAAATAATTAAAACGGGTTATAGCTAAAACGGCACCGATTGGCGAAAACGTCACCTCGCCTCAAGCGAAAACGGCTACTATTGCCTGGCGAAAACGGCACCCTATTTTTTGTTACCTTGGTAAAATAAATGAAATTAAACTTACATGGTCGCTTGCAAACACCAATAATTGTGAAATGTTAAAACAAGTTTACATTAGAAATTAGCCTCTACTCCAACTATATTCCAACTTAGCCTATACGCAACTCAACTTATTGTGAAAACATAACATGCCTTGAAGTAACTTATAGTCCCTGGCGACCCTGGCGGCATAAATCGTTCTTATCGTTATTAAAAACAGAGGTACCGTTTTCGCCCGTCACATAGTAGCCGTTTCCGCCAAATGCGGTGCCGTTTTCGCCAGAGAAATCAGTGACGTTTTGCTGAGGTGCCGTTTTAGCCTGCACCAAATTAAAACTGTGTGGTTGGTGGTATTGGGAGTGATCCACAATTCGCTACCCAAAGCTGTACTCCAATACCCACCCCCAGAACCGTTACAATGGGTTTTGACGATCTTTCGACGTAACTGGAGATAACCTAGACCATCATCTGCAAATACCTGTGCTAATTTACAATCAATTATAGACAGGATCAAGTAAGACGTCAAACTGACTTTCCTGCTGATACCAACAAAGACAGTGTTTGTATCTCATCCCAGTGATAGGCCTCTGTCAACAGCAATGTCTTTGCTTGAATTCTTTACTTGTTAAAGAACAGATTGTTGCCATGTTTGAGCATGTTGTCGGTGTCGATGGCTGTATGCGAACCGAAAACATTGCCATCCTTTACAAAAAATGTTTATTATTTATTCCATGGTGTTTTCAAACGGAAGAAAAATATCAATATCTAAGAGAGTGTCATAGTGTTGAAAAGGTTTGGGGAGAGGGGAGGTGACCGATTTTGCTCTTCTTCAAATACATTATTATGTGGAACGAATTTGATGATGGATTAACAAATACAGAATTCCATTGCTAGTCAAATGATTAAATAAGATAATCATATATTTTATTTCTAGCACATACCGGTTGTATATGAACACACGAAACAGTCGGAATAGCAATGAAGACAATTAGGAATTTTGATAAGAGTGCATGTCATCCGTGATTGTGACGTATGGTTTTTTTTGCTTTTTTATGATTTTTATACATACGCTTCGTCGGTTTTGACAGTAACGATACACGTTAAGCAACTGGTGTTTCATACGTTTTCTAAACCATGTTAAATGGGTTAATGAGGACAGATACTCGCACGATATGCAACTTCATTAAGATGTTTTCAATACGAAACAAAATATTGTTTGACCATGTTTCGTTTGTTTTCAGTTCCTGTCGTATCCATGTTGGTTCCAGGGCTACTCTTCTGCCTAGCATATTCGTTGCTATGGGGCTGGGTAACATCAGGTATGTAGAAGGACAAAAACGAATTGTTATTTTTACCAACTCTTTAACAATACGTTTTGCCAGATGACTTGGCGTTGTTTGAAGAAACATGTATTTTAGATGAAACATGGTTTCTGTTACAATAGAACACGCGAACTTCTAGCTGCATTTATGAAACCGCCTTTACGTTCACGATTGAAACAACGATTATTTTGTATTGGTATGGTAAACTAATTCAAGTTATGACTAGTTCTGCATGCACGATACTTGCGCGCCACCTAGAGTATATTTTCATCTCCGTCTGTTGGCAGGGGTAGCAGGACAATGTCCGTGCTCTATAGTTTTACTAACACATCTGATTTGCATCACTATTGGCTTTTCTTCCACATTAAAACGGATGGCTAATATATTGATTGCATACCTCAAAGGCGGCGCCGCCAACTCATCCGCTTGAGTCTTCGAATTTTAGTTCTTAGTTCTTCCCCGCACAGCACGTTTGTATTCCGATCGCATACAAAGGGGTAAGAAAATCAAAGACTCCGTTGTGTGTTGTCTGTAGTGGTAGATACATCATTGTATACTATTACCAAACCTTATTTTATGAGATAAACATAATGAATTTCAAATCGTTTTCTTTCAGCATCTTCTTTCAAGAGGGTATGCTATTTCACAAACTGGTCCGGAGACCTTCTCATCCCGGAGGCCCATTTCAACCTGGAGGACATTGACGCTAGACTGTGTTCACATCTCATTTATGCATTCGCTAAAATCAACACAGAATCCCTTGACCTTCTTCCTACGAGGCTCGACGACGGAGGGGAAAATGGAGCAGTGGGACGTTATATACTGTTTAATAACTTGAAGAAAGACCATCCTGGCCTGGTCACTTTGCTGTCAGTCGGGGGTTCCTTGCAGGCCAATACAGGATTCGTTAAAGTTGTTGAGACAATGGAAAGCAGGCGGAAGTTTGCGAATAATTGTGTGGCGTTTCTGAGACTATGGGGCTTCGATGGGCTGGACGTCGACTGGGAGTACCCTGGAGATCCCTTCGAAACTAGAACTAATTTTACAATGCTGTTATTGGTAGGTTTACTTAGCATCAGTGATTTGTCTCCAAATTATCCCAACCTATCAAAACCAACAGCCTGTTGTTCTCGTTAACACATAACGACATCCATCGCTATGGCCCTATTGTTTCTGGAGGGAGCTGTCTTAAGCATCAGAATGACGATGTCAGTTTATGATGAGATATTGGATTAGTAGATGAGATATTGGTAGATTAGAATTCGCTGTCAACTATTATGATAAATAGGCTAAAATTCAGTGGTAAGGCTCAGTTCATGATCAAATTCTACTCAGCAGCGATATCTTACAAACACGCATATATCTACTTCTGAAGTGTAAAGCCTTCTGTGTAAGATTGATAGGTTACCAATAACACGCTAAATTAAACGTATAGCTGAATGAGCAATCTATGTGTCCATAGAACCAAGAAAAGAGATTGGAATATCTCTCTATATTTAGGTTTGACACAGGGTTAAACATGCATCTGTTATGGAAATTGAAACTAGATTTCACAAATGTTTGCATAGATGTGGCTGAGAGTATGAATTCAACCATGCTTTGTTTCTATGGTTTCTGAAAGGAACTCCGGACTGTCTTCGAAAAAGAGGCAGAGGTGACAGGCAGAAAGAGGTTGCTGCTGTCAATGGCCGCCCCTGTCAGCGAGGTCCTAATTTCTGATGGTTATGAGGTTGACAAGGTTTCGAGGTCAGTGTCGCTATAAATCCCCGTCTCTGCACTATGTGCCTTATGAAACAAACTGATGAACGTTGTCGTGTTCTAGTTTTGCCACCATTTAAATAGTGTGCAATTATATGTCTTCCTAAAACTCGAATCGTATTTATTTAGGAATACTTCCAAGTTGTAATTCTCGGACAATCTACCTACCTACCTGAAAAAGTCGAGACGTGATCTTTTCTTCATCCCTGTCTGACGGCTTCGGACACTCCATGACCCATTTCTGATCTCTTGTCTACATAATTATACAACCTCTTTACAAGGACAATACTGTGGGGTAATCGATTAGTTAATATGGCACATGTCAGAAATATTTACGCCATAAAATGCCACCTGCCTCCAAACTTAAAGTCAAACAACACAGCTTTGCAAAGATCATTTCCCTGTGGGTATTGTTGGTGTTAGTGATAGTGTTCGCGAACCTTTGGGTGGAGGGGATATCACGATGTTAAACGCTCAAGACCTGTATGACTTTGGGCTATCGTTCTACATTAATCTGACACGCGGTACAATAACTATAATGTTGCGATACTTCAGACACTTTGATTTCTTCATTGGTTCGACGATTATTGTAGTTGGCCAAATTTACTGTAACAACGTCCAGAAAATGGAACGTTCTGGATAAACAAGGTCCATGTACATCAAGAGTAAACGTAAACATTTTGTACAGACTTGTTGACTTCATCAACATAATGGCGTATGACTTCCATGGTGCCTGGAACGACATCTGTGGCTTCAACGCCCCGCTCTACTCACGGAAAGGGGACTTGCAGTTCTATCCCGACCTTAATGTGGTAAGTTCGTTGTGTAGAGTTGCGCCCTTTAGGTGTGTCAGAAACCTATTATGTTTGGTTCGAATCCAAACTCGCCCTGGTTATGTTTCTAGGTGTGTCGATACCATAGCCACCCTCGTGAGTATCGCCAAAAGTGGTAAACGTCTATGACCCGCATCGCTTTGGGCCTTCCTACCCCATCAAGCTGGCACGCCGTGATATAAATAAGCTACTGTTCGTGGTGATGTTAAACCAAAGTTACCCACACTTAATGTGGTGATTTCATCCAAGACCCATCAATTAGAGCTAGTTCATAACTGATTAGAAACGAAAGGGGGATAGATGCGGGCAAGTTATATAACCTAATTACATTCCGATGACTATTTTCACATGCGAGACAATGAATAGGAAAAAACTAAATTCATGAATTGATTAAGTTGTTGGTATGTATAATTTCTCATGAAGATCTAAAAACCGCACAGATCTAAAAGAAATTCTAACGTGGCGCAACGTGAACCACATGTCTTGTTTCTCAACACTTTGTTCATGTTGGGGTGCTGTTGTCTAACTATTTCTCAATATATGATTTGTAATATATCTTCAAGAACGGTAGTCCGAAAGAGTGGCATGTAGGTTTCATAAACACTTCGTAACGGAACGCACTTCCACATAACTGAAATCGGAAACGATAACAAAAGATATTATAAAATGTTTCAAGATTGAACATATCTTTCCATTCTGTTCATGGGCATTGTTAAGAGTATCAGTTAATTTTGTAGCTACAGAACGCTTGACTATCGGTTAATGTCTTTATTTTAAAAATAAACGACCACGATGATTCTATTATTTCTCATATGAGATACCAACATCATGTACAGCCTCTTAAGGATGTTGATAAAATTTACAAGCTTTAAAAATATTTACCCAAATTTTAATAATGAGGACTCCCTAAATAGAATCACGAATTTTGGATGTGATCGTTCGGCCACTGCGTTTATCTGCTGGCCCAGGTACATGTATGGGGAATAGCTCACTAAACACTTCCCTCTCCAAAATAACGTCCTCCAATATTTGACGTCTTCAAGTTGTAAGCGCATATTCGAATCTCAAGAAATGGCGTCATGATAGATCAATGTTTTATTGTGAAATAAACCACGCTTCGTTCTTCATTGTTATTTGCGATTTATATTTATCGCGTATCCATCTTATATTTGTAGTTACAGAATGCTTGAGTATCAGATAATGTTTTCTGTTCGTATTTACAGATTCTTGAGTCAGTGTTAGCTAATGTCTTCTGTTCGTAGTTAAAGAATGCTTCAGTATCAGGTAATGTTCTCTATGTGGAGTTATAGAATAGTTGACTATCAGTTACTGTTCTTTGAAACAAATACCAAGAAGTAGCCAACTACACAAAACTGTGTATTTGTAAGCAGTGAAATATATTATACTCAGCAGTCTATGTCATTCAGTACAGTAATGTTTATTGACACATTATAGGAATGGGCTGTTGACACCTGGATCAAACGAGGAGCCCCGCCTGAGAAGATAGTTGTTGGAATAGCCGGCTATGGAGCTTCGTATACACTGGCCGAAGCGTCGAGTCATGGTGTCGGAGCCGAGGTGTTGGGACCGGGAAAACCAGGCCACTACAGAATGATGGAGGGGCAGCTGGCGTTCTATGAGGTAACGTGTGATAGGTATCTGTCTGTTACATCAGTAATAATTCATTAGTTATTGTGTCTCACAACAGCCGTGTCGCGCCGTTACAATAATTGAGCTATCATGTCCACACCACGATCTCTCGGATTGTACATCGATCTTTCTATACATGTTTGGTCTTGCATGTTAAGGGTGCCAACGGTGTGGCAGGCTACGCTCACCTTTTCGCGAATACCTGGTATCGCTATTGAAAACAAAACATAACAATGTAGAATTAAACTTTGATATTCCGTCGTCTATTCTTTGAAGATAATATATAACACCAGACAGTAACTCGAATAGTTTCAAGTTTTAGGTTTCTGGTGAAGCCAAGTAAATTTTTACAAATACCTAAAATGTCCCCTCTTTTCAATTTAGGTGTGTGAGATGCTCGATAAGGGAGAAGCTAGCTACGCCTGGGACGACATTCAGAAAGTGCCATACGTCTACAACAACGACACCTGGGTCGGATATGATGACGAGAAAAGTGTTGCCGTCAAGGCGAGTATTTACCTCCTACTCTTTTCACGATATTATCGCACTTTCTCTGCCTGGACTACAAATAGTTATGCAAAACTTGTAATTTCGACGCGGTGTTCATCGTTTCACGAATCGGTAGCTACAAAACGGTGGGTACTGTCACTAAAATATTTCACAAACGTCTATTGTGGGAGATTATTGTATTAGTGAGGAGACACGGGTTTGACTTCGCATGACTTCACAAAGGACGAGACGGCTTATCGACTATCTGTTACATCACTGTAGCTCGCCAGGAATACCCGCGAATTAAACTGTTGGTAAATACTGGACGGTTAACAACACACCCTGTTCCGATGTTACATGTGAATGATGACAGCCACCAAGCCCAAGGAACTCATAGCTGATTCTCCTAGAGTGTATCAAATGTACACAAATAAATTTCACAAATGCATAGGATAACTGACATCAAAGCGTCAAAAGTGAGCAAACCCACAATTACGAAGCATAATCTGCATTATTCATTATTTACACAAAATTAATGTGTTTTAACCCTCAGATAATAAGCTTAGTCCTTTTAATGCTAACATAAGTAAGTTCCCTCTGAATTAACAGAGTACTGTCGGTAAATATGAATTCAACTGTGTTAAGGTCAGGGCATGACAACGATACTTGTTGGCCAATATGATAAGATTAACACCAAGTTATTGTACTTATACATCTCCTTGAGAATCAGCTTGGATCAAGCATTCGCTCATGTACAAATTAGCTTTTCGTATAACTCTAAAACCAGCCTTTTGATTCTGTTAAATATACATTTGATTCTGTTTACAATTAATCCAAAACATGCAAATATTGAGATTTAAAAAATAAATTTTACTCACATTAATATGGACACATCTGATTTCTGAAATATCGTTATGAAAGTTGGATTTCTAAAATTATGCAGATCAAGTGGTTTCCATGGGTACATATCATACCTCGCTTTTTCCCATGGAGCCGTACACGCCCTTCTTAAACCGAGCTGAGAACTGAACTTCGAATCTTCTTTTAACAAATAAAGAACTTGACCGTGACTGGTGACCATGTTGGTCACTTACTAGTATCTGACAGGCAAGCCAATCCGGCCTTGTTTACTGTGCTTCAATACCTCATCCCCGGGCCTCGTTTTAAAGACGTACTATGTCCCTTTACTGGGCAGCATCTCATAATGAATACATCAGTCGTACAATCAGTTTCACTTTACAGGTCTTCCTAATTCGCCTGAAAATGCTTGTATCGTCCGTGGATGTGTTTATTCAGTTGGAGATAAATTAAATTATTGCGGTCTATTCATTTCGAATTTTTTCTCTCTCACAAAACATATGATCGTAGATTGGAATCCCGTTTCGCCCTTCACCATTGTCGTAACTGGACCGGTCGGTTGCTGACTTCGTCGATGCATGTCATCGTATCTCAATTACGTAACGCTTAATCGAGTTAAATGAGTTACCTGCATGTGTGCTAATACGTAAGAGTGAAAACAAGCCATTCCGCCGATAAAAAATATTATTACAGTGATGACAGAAATAGCAAAGGGGGCTTATCAAGAATTTTGCTAACGATAAACGACATCTTTGGATCTCTTGGTTACAATCCGGGTTGAAATCGGCAGTCAGGTGACCGCGAGCGGTTATTTTTAGAAGTGAACGTGGCCGGTTTGTTCTCATATTGCCAAAGTCTTAATGTTGTTTTAGTAACGGATTAAGATTAGGCTGGATTATAGTCTGTACTAGTCTGTTCTTGCTATGGTCACCTGGTGAGTAGTAGTAGTAGTAGTAGTAGTAGTAGTAAAATATTTTGATTGAAATGATGATTGAGAGAGTGATGTCAAACTAGCAACAGGCTATTTATGCGTGTTATTGCCATTCATGTTCATTGCAAATATGCCGAATGCATGGTTTGGTGATTTTTAAATTAGAACAATAGAGTTAGGCAAGGTGAGAACACCTCGTGCTGGTAAAGTACATACGCTGCACACGCTGCTACCTATAGCCTAAATATAGTCACCCGACTGCCAATCACCGGATTGTGACCTGGTGATCCCAAACTCAATCATGACATTTATCGTGAGAAAAATAAATATTTCTTGAAAAGCGCACTTTGCAAAATTTGTCATTACTGTAAACAATGTTTCTTACCTGCAGAATGGCTTGTTTTCACGTATCTTCGTCAGTTATTTGCGAAATTTCGTTTTTCTATTTCAAGTGGCGGGGACAAAAGTCGCCCCGTACTACACGCATAGAGCGCTAGGAATCTATTCTCAACAGGAATCCTCCCAACGGGTCCTTTGCTATACTTTTGCTGGTCGTAGCTTCGAATGACACACAGGATGACACACAGGTTCCCCCGATTATGAACCTTGGCCTGTCAGTATCATTGTGCTCGCGGGTTTCAACAAAGTAGAAAATATGTCGTGTCCATTTTCGGTGCATTTTACTGACACACTGTGGTATAGTTGATACACGTTTAACCCAACAACTGACTTCCGTAGCGTATCTCACTGAAATACTTTGTAATATTTACAGACCGAATGGGTGATTCAGAAGAACATGGGCGGTGTGATGCTGTGGTCCCTTGACTTGGATGACTTCAAAGGAACTTTTTGCAAAAAGGGAAAATTTCCACTACTTAGGTCAATTGTAAAAACAGTTGCTAGATACTTTGATGACATCACTGTCCCGCCACCCAGAACAACCACAACAGCGCCCCCTACAACGACCTCAACTTCAACGACGACGACAACACCTACCCCTGCTACTACCACTACGGCAACAACCACACCAACGACATCTCCAACGCAAACGACAACGGTTGCCAAGACCATGGCAAGTAACACTACCATTACCCACGCGACTGACAAGAGAAGTCGGCCTCCAGTTACAACGACCACCTCAACACGCGGCAACGATGTCCTCACAACAACACGACGACCTCACACCTCCACTGACAGGTGGGACGTCAACGATCTTCCCAAATGGGTACGCACAGATTCAGGCGTCAACAACAACCATGACGACAGTGGCGAAAGCGACAACATCGGTATTGATAACAGGGGGAAAGGGGAGGAGGGTGATACAGGAGGGAATCGTATTGGAGATGTTGTTGAAAACGAAGCACCTAGTGGCGACGTGGCTGCGAAGAAGACTATGGCGATAACTGCAGGGAGTGGTAGCATTAATATTTGGTATAGATTTGCTTTTTTCATTACAGTTTTCTTTAAAATTGTATGGTAAAGGTAACAGTGGTATATTTTCAAATAAAATATTTTGTATGGAAATCAGCTGTGTTTCGTCCCCGTTTATCAAATTCTAAGTTTGATGGTTTTCCCCCGGAGAAGAACAAAATACTGTTTTTGATGGTAGCCTCTTGGACTAAATTGCCCATATATCAGGTGCAAACGTGTCCTTTTTCATATATGTCACCACGACATTGATGACTCCGGCAGGCCAGGACATTGTCTTTCTCGAACATCTTCTGTCATGGCAACAGTACACTTATTCGTGTAATGTTTGGAACTTGTATTTCCGGTTGTTGCAGACTCTCTTCTTTTTCTTTGGAGGTTGGCACCGATTTTGTGTCTAGGTTTGTCAGCACCATACCCGCGACGTGGGTGTCACCAAGCTGGTAAACGTCTGAGACCTGCATCACTTTGGTCTTTCCTCCCACATCAAGCTGACATGCCGTGATATAACTGAAATACTGTTCAGAGCGGCGTTAAACCCAACTCACGCTTGAGCCCCGGAAAGGTCATGGATGACTGATTATTGTCCTTCTTCTGTCTGCACCATACCCGTGCTCGTGGATTTCACTGAAGTGCTTAAACACGAAAGCCTAGTTATGCCCCTTTGGTAGCTTTTTTAAAATCGAAATTTGACCTTATTTCAATCATTTGTTTATTTCCTCGTAATTTCGAGTATTTTCTCGTTATTTCGATTATATTTTCGTTATTTCAATTATTTTCCCGTTACTTCGATCTTTTTCTCATATTTTAGATTATTTTCCCGTTATTTTAATCATTTCCTCGTTGCTTTTATTTTTCTTGTTATTTCGATTAATCGAAACAATCGAGTTTTTTCTTGTTATTTCAAAAAAAAATTCGTAATTTCGATTATTTTCTCGTTATTTCAAGTTTATCTGAAAAAATACTCAAGTTAATTCAATTATTTTCTCGTAATGTCGTAGTTTTTTTTATATGATCTGGAAATTACGAGAGAAAAATTGGAAATAACGGGACATTTCCATACAGGTAAACATAAAATTATGCTACCAAAGTGGCACCATTAGTCTCTCGTATTACATCTTGGCTTACTTCAGGCTCTACACCCTCATTAAGTTGTACTCGACATCGCAGTGTCAAACCCAACTCACTCACTGACACAGATATGCAATAGGCAAACTTCACACAGAGCTGTACTCACGAATCACTGTATCCTTACACTTATATCGCCTGTTGTTCGCGAAACGGTTGAGCAGTCACTGCTCTGTCGTTGCTTATATGCCCGTGATTATTATACTGAAAACCCTAGAAACATGCTGCAACCTTCCTGATCTTTGGAAAATATCATCATTCTCTCTGGAAGTTGAGGAGGACGACAAATCTTGGGTCACTGTAGCAAATGTATCATTGAGTCACCGATGAACGAATGTAGCTCATAAAACGAATAAGAGATCGGTCATTGGTATATTCTCGGTACATGTGATTTCACGGTGATGCTCAACGCTACCTTTGTTATTCTGTTCTGTTATTAGATAACTATACATACGAAAAGCATTACATTATCTAACGTTGAGGCATGACTCGCTTAACCGTTTCGCACCCGTTGTCATCACTGATTATTCTCTTGCTATGACTTTTTACATTTACTCATTTGACAGCCAATTTCTTCCCAACGAGGCCAATAATTACAATACTTCACCATGTTAAGGATTCATGCATGGCCTTGTACCTAATGCTTCCACTTCAGCCACTGTCGCAAATGCATGAGATCTGAAGAATGTATTGTATATATCGTTACATTAATTTACCCTAGAAATAATATCAATGATTAAAACAAACAAGTAAAATTACAACACACCAAGGAATATTTTTTAACATTTATAGCAATTTATGATTTCATAATTGATCAAGAACATATTTACATTGTTTCACTACACCAGATTTACTGTTGAACACCAACTAGGAACACAAATGACAGACAGAAAGCAAATTGTAGATTCTAGTGTACCTCAATAAATAAATAAATAAATTCCACAAATGTAAAAACTACAATTTAGTTCATAATTTCGAATTCTCATTCTGGGAAGCTTTAGTCCCCGAGAGATGTGTTTCCTTGGTGTCACCGGCGGAAGAGGATGCTGTAGGTTTGGCAGATTTGTGGATCGCCAACTTCTTGCAGGAATAGCAGAGCACGCGTTTCAGGGTCGAAGCGAATTTCTCACTCAGGACGAAGTACAATACGAAATTCCAAGCAGAATTAGTTGCTTCTGCCAGTTGACCGAATGCGCTGACAAGGTAAAATACATTCTTTTCAAACCCTCGGAGATTGTATTCCGGATACATCATCACGAACATCTGATGGAGGCAGGCAGGGATGTTGAATGTGACGTATGATATACAGATTGTAAGCATCATCCTAGTCACTTTGGCCAACCTTTCATCCTTGGCCGATGAGGCAGCCTTTTGGAAGGCACTTGCTTTCCTCAATGTAATGATGATCGTGACTGCTGTTGTGAAAATAAAGATAACCGGAATGAATCGAAAGACAACGGTGAGAAAGATATTCAAGTACCAGTTCAATACTACAATGTTCTTTGTGTAGAACTCGGTTAACGAAACGTAAGCCATTGGAGCCTTAGTTTTGGGGTTGGTTGTCCAGTTGAGCTGCATTGTAAAGAACGTGGGGGTAATCAGAGACACTGTCAGGACGATTAATACAAGTACCATGATCCATACTCTCTTGGATGTAAACCAAAGCCTCACTTTCATCGGTCTTGTCACCGCTATACACCGTTCTATAGATATCAGCATTGTGATGACCCCTGTAAAACGACTGAAGATAATACTGATGACCTTCATCTGGGGTAGAGTTATCATGTAGTAGTTCATTCCAAGAAGAGCGTCGAATTTCCCGAGAATACATTCAACCCTACGAATGCCACTAGTGAGCAGGTTCCCTGTGTCGGATATGGTCAGGACAAACAGGAAGATGTTAGTTGAATCCTTGAGTCCCTGAATCATCAGGACGATGCAGCTCAAGATGTTACCCGTCGTTCCGAGTATTGTGAGAGCTGGAAGGATCCCGCAGTAAACGATGTCCTCCACCATATCTTTAGTAGCTTTGTCTACCATTGGTGCCAGCTGAGACTGGAACAGTGCGTTCAGGTTTCCTTTGGTAGTGCTCTCGGTCCAGTTTGACGGAAAGGTTGTGTTATTCATCCTGGAGTCTGTTTGAAAAGAAGCATTCCTTTAAGATGACATTGTGAAAATTTCATAACAAATTATTTCTAAATTGTATAATTGCTTATCTGGAATTATAAGGTCCAATAAACTGCAGACGAAGGCCGTTGGTTTGAATCCCAGTTTCGTTTTCATAATACACTCTACCACGAATTTGGAAATTATTCCATTCCGACTGATTAATGAGAGGTATCAAGTGACAATTACCACCTCCAATTGACGATTTGACATCCGCGTCACCTCGCAATAATAATAATAATAATCCAGTTGTCGTACATATACAGACAAGTACTCCCTTTCTCGGTTATGGTAGGTACGCATTTTTAAATAATTATATGTACAATTATAGTTTACAAAATGCAGAGTTATGGTTATTCCAATGTTCAAAATATTCGTGGCAATACATTTTAGGCAGACAATACGATAGGAATTGACTACGAGAGTGTATTTAAAGTTTTGGGGCACAAAGCGAGCCTTTCTAGACTCGATTGTGACTCGATTTTGAGTACATGTATCTCCAAACTTTGTTTACTGTCCATCAACGATGTTACCTTAAGTTAGATCGACAATCCACTCAAAGCGCTTTATCTAACCCATGCCGCATTACATACTTCTTTTATAAGAGCACAGAGTTTATACTATTTTGGAGATGAACATACTGTTGTCAATGTAGACCTAGGTTACCTGGGTATTTAGCATTTTCGCGTTTGGTGAAAATAATCATTTTAGGGGTGGGGGGGGGTTATAATTTATAGGTAACCTAACTTTACATATCTCTTAAATGTACCGAAGTCGTGGTTTCCATTGGTCCATTCATATAAGTTTCACCCCTATTTTGCCTTTTGCACGGTGACTTTCAGCAGATAGACGGGACTCATTGTCCTCCGGCGTTGACGTTAAATATCTTATTCTGTATCAATTCGTGTTATTCCCAGGTGCTTCCCAGGGACTGTGGAAGTACTCCGTCAGTTTACGTCATTTCAAGACTACAGTCACGTGGAAAACGTATGAACGTCAAATTGTGTCGTTCATATACTTATGAACGCCTATTTCGCACTCATGTTACCGAACTCTCCTCCAATGAAAAAGTCATTTATCGTGTAGACTTCACATTAAACAATGATGTGATATTATCTGCAGCATTATCCACGGCCTTCGGTCCACATACGAAATAAGCACTCAAGTATTTATATCCAATAAGCCTTTTAGAGAACAAAGGAAATGCAGTGTAAATTGTCGAAACCGGATTCTGACTAATCCGGAGTCATATCCATACCGTACCACATTTACGGTCTCGAAAATACTTTGATTCATAATATTTAAAACCCTATCTTGATTTCCTAATTATTATCTGCTACTATTGTCTCATTAATCAGGTCCTAAACCGGTTCAAACAGATTACATTGAAACATAGTATTTGGTCATTATGTTGCCTGGTCTTCAGCAAACCATGCTTGTCGTAAGAGGCGACTAACGGGATCGGGTGATCAGGCTCGCTGACTTGGTTGATGCATGTCATCGTATCCCAATTGTGTGGATCGATGCTCATAATGTTAAACCAATGTTGGATTGTCTGGTCCAGACTCGATTATTTATAGACCGCCGACATATAGCTGGAATATTGCTGAGTGCGGCGTTAAACAAAAACAAACAAAACATTATGTTGCCTAAAGCTCAGTTATCCCTTGCAATAAACATTTCAATACCACGCGTGATCTTCAGCTTAGTTTTTGCCCATGTGAATAGAAATAGAATCATAAAATATCGCGATTTTTAATTAACGAAAATAGCTGCATGTGTGTTAAGATATCTGCATGTGT